GGACAACTATAATGGTATGGGAAAGATTTGAAGCTAAGTAGTACTGGTAGGTGGGGCAAGTTCATCAGAAGGGACCTTCCCTAGTTTCTCAGGTTGTAAAGGTGATGGTAAATTGGGGTATGATTAACCAGTTGGATCCTTTAACCACTGGATTACTTGTTATAAAAAAAAAATGTGATAAGGAAGAAAAGAAGGAAAGGTATAGCCTGATGCTTTGTTGCCACCCGCCTTCATATTTTTTGCTGGGTAGATATAGATGATTTTATCTATAATCTTAATTGGGAAACAATTACAGTTTCTCTGAACAGCTTTCCTTCTGAATATTTGGAGGATTGATTTGGAGATATTTTACCTCTTAGGCAACTGGCAAAGATGTTTTATAGCAGCCATGTTGCCCCACATGCCTCTGGCTTAAAAGTGGACCCTGTCCAGATTATCACCCATTGTTAAGAAAGTAGACCGGGTAACTTTATGCCTGAGTTTCTCACACTAAAGCAATAAACTAATTCTTGTATTTGGGAGAAATAAGTTATGCAATGATTGAAGTATTCAAGGAAGTCCTTAGCCTAAGGCTAGACTCATTTGTTATAGACTGAATGATTTGCATTGTCCTGCCCTTGGATATTTGGGAGTCTCTTCTCTATCTTGATTGACTGTGGCCTATGAAATAAGTAGTAAGGGTCCTCCTCTGGGGGGGGCAGGGGGGAGAGATTTTGAAAAGCCTGACCAATGTTGCAGAGGGGAGGAGCTTCCTCTAGTCCTTTTACTGAATTTTTGTTGAATTCCTCAGGAAAGAGGAATCAGAGCAGAGCTGCTAGTCCCTGAAAACACATCTTTCAATCTCTAGAGACTTGCAGATTTTCCTGAGGAGCTATGAAAAATCTAATTTTAGATAAAGCCTGGTGATTCAGGGAAATATTTTCATATTCCTTCTCAACCAGCAACTATTCTGCCACTTCCTATCTTACTGATTCTGCAGAGAGTAATGTGAGATGTAAGTACTGAAGCCTTCCTTAGATACCTGGGTCCTTCCACCTCCAGCATCTAAGCAATTGAACCATAGTCACTGCCAGTTGATTACTACCTGCAACTTTTTTGTCATTTCAGAAAAACCTGCCAAACTGGCAGAAGAAAAAGGGAAAAGAAAAAGGAAGGTAAAAGAAAGAAAAAAACTGGAGAAACTTAAGAGAATCCTTGGCAGAATTGATAGGCTTATAAACAAGACAGGGCCAGAAATAGCCTCTCGAAGGAGGCAACATTGGGATGTTTTCTAATCTGTCTCCAGAGCAAATGATTGGTACAATAATCCTTCTCTGCTCTTGGAAATACACACATTGCATTAATGAAATTACGAGCCAATAAAAATACTAGAGAAAATACAAGTACTTCTAATGGAAAATAAAAATTACTGAGCAAGATAAAATAACCTTGTCCCTAACATTTGGATGCCATTCAAATGCCTTTTAAATTTTTAGATTATATAATTATCTGTTTCAACTCTTGTGTCTCTTAACATTAGAGAGAAAAACAAGAAGGCACAATGATCTATTTATTATTTAAGATATAATAAATAATACATTTATTATTATAAGGAAATATATTCTGCTGTGAGATAAGAACTTTAATTCTATTTTGTTTGAAAAACAGGGAGAAAAAGAACTTTTAGCAGTCCCATGAGGGCACCCAAGATTTAGGTTAAATCATTTTCATTTGGTAATTCTTTGCCAGTTTGGAAGCAGCTTTGGACATGAGCACTGTTGAATAGTTGGGTTGATTTATTTCCAGATCATGTATGTAGTAGAAACCTCTATTTTCATACACTTGATTTTATATTTGTTTTTGAATCTATTTCACTTACTCCAAGTCTTCCTTAAATCATGTTGCCCAGACTCACGTGCATTTTCGCCTTTTTGTAAGAAGAGTGAGGGAATTTTTGTTGCTGCCAGATTTGCAGATGTTGAAGATACAGCAGTAATTTTTTTTTCAGCCTAGTCAGTGTAAAACCACAATGCCACATCATACATTTTTAGGAATTTAACCAATTGGGAGACTTGAATGTTAGCCTCACTGATACATGAAGGTTTTGCTTTTTAATATTAACCTAACTAAATTAATTTTTGTATCTTGGGAGATTTTTTTTCTTTCTATTCAGGTGTATCTAATTTTTGAAAAAATGTTCTTGCAGGTTTTTTTTAGCAAGGTTTTTCAGAAGTGCCTCCTTCTTAGGCTGAAAGCAACTGGCCCGGATTGCACAGATGGCTTTATGCCTAAAGTGGGATTAAAACTCAGGGTCTCATGGTATCTAGCATGTTGCCTTAACCACTACATTTCTCTGATTAAGAATGTTTCTGCCCATTATGTTATGTGGAGGTGAGCTGGGTTATAAGGACAAATATTAAAGGATCCAATCTGGGTCAGTCACCAGGACCCATTCTCAGAGAACTTCTCTGTCACCAGAAAGGTCAGAAGACTAAACTTCTGCTCCTGATAACTGTTGTGGCCTGTGCAACTAGTAGCTGATTCCAACAGTGAGGAGGCTGGTGTGGTGCTGCATCAGCAGCCTTTGCAGCTGACACTCAAGTCAGACAATGAGGAGGCTAGAGAAGATGTGGTGCCAGAGGCGGGGATTCAGCCAGGGGCTTCAGAACCTCCAGAAGCGCCCATAAGTGAAGAGGAAGAAGAGGAGGAGTCTCTTTTCGATGCACGGGAGCACAGAGCTGCCAAAAGGCAGGAGTGGCTCCTCAGGAGGAGGTCTCCTTGAGAGTAAGGCTTTGGACTAATTGACCACTCCCTTAGCCTATTTAAGGAAGGACGACGACTGAGGCAATTTGCAGAAAACAACTTCATTCACTCTCCTTTACATCTTGATCTTAGTTCTCTGCAAATTGCTTCTGGGCTTTCTGCCAACCATAGTAAGATTACGATTATTTATTCTTTGGATTCTTGTAGGCTATTAAGAAAGTTAATTAACAGCCTTTGTTTGAAAAAGACTGATTTAATTTAGTAAACTAAAGTTTGTACAGACTTTGTGTATGCTGCATTCTTTTGGGGTCTGTAGCTGGGGCAGAACAATAATAGATCCAGATTGGATCTTGTAACATTATCCTAGGACACACACATTTGCCGTCCTTTGTGACAAATATTAAAGTTAAATGGGCTATTGTGACTGTAGGCTGAATATAAAAGTGACTAACCAGAACAAAATAAATATTTCAAAATAATTTGATGATAGAGGCAGAGTGAATGAGGATGTAATTGGAAAACAAATAAGAAAAGAAGAATGAATTTTCCAAGAGAAAGATTCTTCCAAAAAAAATCATGGCTATAAACATTGAGGAAATCTCAAAAGAGAGTTCTGAGAAGTTTGTATATTAAAATTTATATATCGATATGTTACAAACAAAATGGTTTCCAAGTATGGAAATGTATAGGAAATAGTGTTGGCGTAAAGTAGATTTGTTAACATTGTTTATCTTTGCTTGTGTGCTACTAAAAGGAAAAAGCCTGGGGTGACTAACAATGTTAAGCCAAAAAAACCTAATACTATAAAACTGTAAATTACATATTTTAAAAAGTTATAGTTACTTTTTTAAAAGATAAAAAAAACTGGAAACATCCAAATATCATATACCACAAACACCTTCATTCTTAGCCAGGTGGAAAAAATGTATTTATCATTTTTCTGAAACCCAAGTGGGACAAAGTTGACCAGATACATGCTGGGGTAGTTATTACATTTGCCATATGAATCCATCACAACTGTTGCTAACATAAAATATGAAAATATAATGTTTTTTTAATGGTGGAGTGAACAAACATCATGTCCTAGGTTAACTGCACATGATGTTTACAATAACTAGCATTACTTAATTAGGGATTTCCAGTTGCTGGCAGTACTTACCTGCAAATGAATCCGGCCGTTCAAGAAATTTGAAGACAATGTTGAGATGTATTGTATTTCCATTTAAATTGAAGCTATTATTTCAAGTTTGCATATATAAATATAGATTAGCAATTGTGACATTATGCAAATCTGTATTCTGCTTTGTATTCTCTCTGACTCTCTGGCAATACATAAGAGGCTTAGAAAGCAAAATTAAGGTGCAAAGCCTACTTGTAATTCTATACTATTCTTTGGTAACAAATGTCAGTAAGAGCCTTCCTCTATATAAAATCATATTCAGTCCAATTGTTTTCTCTAGAAATAAATAAAATGAAATCTATTTTAATATAAATATTCTTTGTATATTGTGCTATTTTTTAATATATTTTATTTTTAAATTTGTTTACCACCCATCTTACTGCAAAGTGAAATTATAAGATAGAAGTCTTATAAAATGACTAATTAAAAATGGGAAACTAGCTCTTGGGAATGGTTTAAAAATCCCAGTTTCTCCCAACTCTTGATCTCTTAAAATCCCAGTTTCTTCTAGCTCTTGATCCCTAACATCCAAATTCTAACTGGGGCATTTAAATGACACATAGAACAGAAACTAAATAGCTATCAAATTCTCATTCTAGCAAACAAATGGAAGTGCTCTCATTTCTTGCCCCAGAAAGTACAATAAACTCATCCATATGGCTTCATCCATGGTTTGTTTGTGAACCAGGGATCCTGGCTTGCTCCTCTTTAAACCAGCTTGAGGTAGAAGCCAAGAGTGCCATTTATGGATATGGAGGAGGAGGAGATAAAGAGAGACTGGGAGATACTTAGTTGTTCTGGCATATTATTTTTTGTCTTTGTTTATTGTTTGTTTCTTTCCCCTTTATTTACTGCCTCTAATAAGTTTGTGTTCACTTCTCCTTCTATTTCTTTCCACAGAAATGAAAGTTGTAGAATTGTATTCTCTTGCAACCGAAGATGGGAACATACAGCAAAGAGAGCTTGGGGACTCACATTTTCTCTATCAATTAAAATGTAAATCAAAAAACAAAATGAAGTAAAATGAAATTGAATCTCTTCCTCTCTGGTTTGATAGACTTGGTGCTGAGACACTCACGTCCATCTGGTGTCCGACCCTCCATATGTACAAGGTCAGGCTCCTTGTCCAAATCCGTGACAGACCTGAGAGAAAAGAAGAAACAGCAGAAAAGAAACAAATTAATCTGTGCAGCAGAATGCATAATGGCAAGCAAAAGGTGAAGTTGGATTGAGAAATAAAGAGGGGAGAAAAAACACTGGCTTCTCATTTTAAATAACCCAACCTAAAATTGGGATTGTTTCAATGCATGCAAAAGAAAGCAACAAACATGGATTTAATAGTAGTTTAGTTTAAAAATCACATAGAATTAAAGAGAGAATTTTTTTTTCATTTCATTTCATTTGCTTTTAAGAACCTTCATGTACAATTTACATTCAAATCTCTGATAATGTTTGTTAGTAAAGCAGGGAGAAGAACTAGTTGTTGAGTATAACATCTAGGGCTGGAATACATATTGTAAATAATGTCCAGAAATATTTTTTGTTTGCTTCAATTATGATCCAGGATGACACAAAGCATGCTAATTTCATATGATGAGAATACTGCTCAGTGTAAACCTACCTGCCATAGTATTATTGTATCAGTGTTTGGGGGTAGACCAAGAAAAAGATACAGCAAGGATTCTATAAACTGTTATTTTATTATTGTAGTGTATAATAAGAACAGAATCTTGAAAGCCTGTCCAAATTTGTCTCTGTCCATTTTATACTATGTGTTTCTTTTTCATGTTTGCTTCAGTCTTTGGATCATGCCTTCCATTGTCCAATCCTTTCCTTAACAGTTTGTTCATGTTTTTCCCACGGTTAGGTTTAAATTCTTTTATATCTTGACATCCATTTTTATTTATTTTATTCATTAATTAAATATTATCCGCTTTTTTTCAAGAGATCAAGGTGACATACATAATATTTATTGTACAACCACTAATCTAAGAAGTAGGTTGGACTGAAAGAGAGTGACTTGCTTAACACAATCCACTGAGCTACAACAGCTGGTAATGCTTTTGAACCTGTGGTTCCTTGCTCATAATCCTTCTTTCTAAATGCTATTTGTACTGTCTCATATGAGCAATGGTTAAAGCTATATAGCTTGTTTCCCAACTCAGATTGAGAATGCTTGTTAACACACAGCCAAAAGTCCCCTGCATATCACCCCAGCAGGGGAAAACCAATCCCAATGAAAAAGTTATGTTTTAATCATCATTTCTGCTGTATTAATTGACCAGCCCTCAGCATATAGATGTGTAACAGAGCATGTGCAAAAGAGGGCATACCGGTGTCACAAGTTAGTTTTGAAGAAAAGAAAAGCTTTCTTGACCATATGTGTTTTTTCCATCCCACTCCTTATGAATAAAATGATAACTTCAGAAAATTTCCTCAAAATATTTCACCTTGTACATCATTGCTGCCTTGTTTAGAAGCATGCATACACAGCCCACACAGAGTATGAGTATTCTTTAATAATTCATAAAATTGATTCAAGAAGACAGATGCTTTGAATTTGTAATCCAGCGTTAACCAAATTCATAGATATGGAGGTGGCAGTTCATAATCCAATACTCTGATAATGTCAAGATTAATTAAAGGATTCCAAGATTGAATAAATAGAGACTTAATGAACTGTTATTATTAAGGAGGACATATGTGTTACCAAATACTATAGAGCTTCTTTCAAATCAATTTGAGTCCTGATGTTCCATTATTGCCAGTATGAGATGCTAGTAAAACATTTATGATAGATTTGTTTATCTCTCTGGCATCAGATAAAAAGCCATGCAAAAACAGAAGGATAAATTACTGGATGAGCCAAAACAGTTAGAATTAAGCCATTAACTTAATTCTGTCTTGGTTTTAGAAGAAAATAGCAATATTCAATCAACAGATTTATTGGAAGCAAAAGAGATCTACAGTAAGCTGGATTTTATTAAACAAAAATATTTTGAAAAAATCAGTGTCAGAAAAATTACTGGCCTATCAACTGAGTGCTAGATAAAATTATTATTACTATATTTGGAGTGGAACCAACATATTTACACAATGAAAGAGATGATGTAGCCATTCATGAATTACTACTGTAGATATTATAGTAAGCATATAATAGATTCAAAAAAAAATGAAGATTATTGGAGTATATATTTTTACCAATGTTAGAGATCAACGAAGGGTTGTAACCATCTTATTACTGAAGATAAGTCAAAAGAGTTTATTAAAAACTGAAAAAGTACATATATTCTGGACCTGATAATATTTTTGCTATATAATGATGATTGATTATGATATTATCCATTTAGTTATGTCTGACTCTTGACAATTCTTTGGGCCAAGTCTCTCCATCTGATCTTCTGACCTTGCACTATTTCTTTGAGTTGTTCTATGTCATTTGGCGGCCTTGTTTCCTTTTACCATTAACTCTTCACATCTTGGTCAAACCATTAGCATAGTAATGAATTAAATTCAGGAATGTAAAGAATTTCCTACATCTTGAAATAACTTTATCTCTTTGATTTATAAAGAAGGAAAAAGTTTAAGTTGTACAGAACTGTTTTGTTACATAGGTTATAAGTTGTTTTGCAGCAATATTTGAAAACAAAATAAAAAGTTAACTAAATGATACATCCTGATCAGACTAGATTTATTCAAAAAAAGATTGTTACTGGCAAGATAAATGTTTAAAGCTGCCAAGATTGTTGTTTCTATTTTTATTGTATGCAGGGAGAAGCTTTTGATGATTTGCAATGGCAGTTCACAGTTGCAACTTTTTTTAAAAAAAGTAGGTTATAGCTCAAATTGTTTAGTGTGATACATAGCACTTATAAAGAAAAAGCCAGAACAGTATTTTCTAAAAATTGTAATAAAGCACTATACTTAACAAGGAAGATTATATATCTTTATTGAGGACTAGGGTTAACATTACATTAAGATATGGAATTCTATATGACAAAAAATATAGGGATTAATTTATAACCAACTATCACTGAATTAAAAAACTAGAATAAGAGATGTGTGGCTAGGAAGAATTGCAGCCATTGAAATGAATATTTTACTAAACATTTTTCCAAAAGTCCATTTTCTTTTCCAAATAACTAATGCATATGGAAAACTGTCAACGTTGAACCACTTTTGAAACATTTATTCAACTTGTCAAAAAACTGGTAGGAGGAAGGGAGAAAGAATGCAGAGACGCCAGAGATGGACTGTGAGAACCAAGAACCCACCAAGGCCACTAATGCAGGTGTCTGCCAGAAAAGCCTTGATAGTACAGTGGTCTACGCACCCTGTTATTAACACAGCTGCCTGCAATTTACTGCTGGTTCGAATCTCTCCAAGGCTCAAGGTTGACTCAGCCTTCCATCCTTTCTAAGGTAGGTGAAATGAGGACCCAGTTTGTGGGGGCAATAAGCTGACTTTGTATAAATATACAAAAGTATGAAGGCTATTGCTTAATGCATTGTAAGCTGCCCTGAGTCTCCGGAGAAGGGCGGCATATAAATTAAATTTTTTTTAAAAAGTGAACAGTTCTCAAAAATAAAAATAACCATTCATAATTGGACAATGTGACCAACTAACATGAATTGCGTGGGAAAACCAGAGTTGCAATACCTAGTATCGTGATGGCGAACCTATGACACAAGTGTCACAGGTGGCATGTGGAGCCATTTTTGTGGGCCTCCTGCTGGCAAGCTGATTTTCGGCTCTCTGCCGCACATGCGGGAGACACGCGTGCATGCCCATACCACCCCGCCCCTCCCAGGAGTCTCTATGGGGCCTGTTTTGGATGTCAGGTAAGTATAGGGCTCATGCAGAGGCTCTGGAAGGGTGAAGAACAGGCCTTCTGGAAGTACTGGAAGTCTGGAAATGGGAAGTTTCTGGCCAGAAGAGGGCCGGGGAGACCGTTTCTGGCCTCTGGAGGCTTTAGGGAAGCCTGCTAGGTGCAAAATTATTATTATTATTATTATTATTATTATTATTATTATTATTATTATATTTAAATTTGTATACCGCCCTTCTCCCGAAGGACTCAGGGCGGTGCACAGCCAGATTAAAATACATACAATACAAAATTTAAAATAATTTAAAACAGAATTAAATCCAATTGGCTTCCCGAAGTATTTAAAACCCATTACCCCTTAAAAACCCTTTAAAAATTTCAAGCCAGCCCAGCTTGCTGGAATAGGAAGGTCTTCAAAGTTCAATGGAAGGTCCGGAGGTCCGGGATTAGTCGTATTCCTGGGGGTAGCTTGTTCCAGAGGGCAGGTGCCTCCACAGAGAAGGCCCTCCCCCTGGGGGTCGTCAGTCGGCATTGCTTGACCGACGGCACCCTAAGGAGGCCCTCTCTGTGGGACCGAACTGGCCGATGGGAGGTTATCGGTGGCAGAAGGTGGTCTTGCAAATAGCTGGGCCCTAAGCCATGGAGCGCTTTAGAGGTGAGAACCAATACCTTGAAGCGCACCCGGAAGACCACCGGGAGCCAGTGCAGCTGGGGTACAGGGGGTCACGTTCGCATGTACGGGGGGAGCATGGGGGGTTGCACGTGCAGGGGTGTAGGTGGTACATGGGGGGCATTGCATTATGGGTGTGGGCACACGCGTGCATGCTATAGCACACACGCGCACACTTTTGGCACCAGAGGGGAAAAAAGGTTAACCATCACTGACCTAGTACAATGGAAGGGGTACCCTATGTCAGAGGCAGAGTGGTGAAAGAGCAGGATGTTAACGCTGATAAGTTAATGAGAGGTTTCCATGCAAAACACCCATGAAAACTAGGAGGGGGATTGAAGGCTCAAAGAACCTGTGTAATGATATTAGTCTATGTTTGATATCTTTCCAGATCTCCCCTTTTTCCCAGGGGATCAGCATGTCAAAGTTGAACCATTGTATTAAGTGATTGGCATAAACAAGTCATGGTCCAGTTTTAACAAATCTAGGGCCACCCTTACTGTTAGTGACTGTAACATCAAAAAAGACAAATAATTGCTATTTTCTAATTTCCTTGACAAGACAGGAAAATAGTTGTGAAATTTCTGCTCAGATACTAGTTTTAATTGATATACAGATTGATTTGAGTCATGAGTGAAAAGACAT